CCGCTCCCCTGCCCTGGGGGTCTTCAGGAGGAGGTTAGATGAGTATCTGGCTGGGGTCATCTAGACCCAGCTCTCTTTCCTGCTTATGCAGGGGGTTGGACTCGATGATCTATTGAGGTCCCTTCCGACCCTAACATCTATGAATCTATAAACTTGATTTATTAGTAGGGGTGCACCAATAGAGATTTTGGGCGCCAACACTGGTAGCCGATTTTTAAGGAGGCATATCGGCCAGTACCGATCCGATTTCCAATACAGTTGTGTGCGGCTGGTAAGTCTGTTGTGGTGAAAGAGGAGGGAAGGGGTGTGGGTGGGCAGATCAATGCTGTCCGTGGTGAGGGAGGGAGTCAGGCTGGGGCTGGGGTAGGCACTGCCCAGCCGGGGTGGTGCGGGCACGAGATGGAGCCATGGCTTACCTGTGGGGTGCGGGGAAGGGACATGTGCCCCCAAAACTGCACGGGGGGGCGGGGCAGGGCAGGCTGGGGCCATGCTGTGCTCAGGGCAAGTGATGGCAGTGCTGGAAGGGGGCTAATGATGGGGGGGGCTGCAGCCACCCCAGATTTTGTCGTAGCCCCCCTCATAGCCCCCTCCCAGTGCCACTGTCCATCCCGAGCATAACATGGCTCCTGACCCCAGCCTGCAACTACAGCCTGCCTGGCATACCCTGCACAGATCCAGGGGCATATGCCCCCATGCGCTTCCAGACGAGCAGTGGGAGCACTGGCGGGAGCCACCAGACAAGCCTCCCCTCTTTCCCCCCTATACCCCCTGGATAAGCTGTGGCTCTGTCCTGTGCCTGCCTCACCCTGGGCTGGACAGCACCTATCCCAATCCCTCCCTCACCGTGGGGGGCATTGATCTCCACTCCACTTCCACCACAGCAAACTTACCAGCTGCATGCAGCTCTCCAAGCTGTTGAGCTGTGCTCCTTGCTGCCTGCATGCTACGCTGTGGCTGTGTGCACACACGGACATCTGTCGGCTAAATTATTGTCAACTTCGGGCCAATTTCTGATGTAGTCAATTTTCTTTGTGTCGGTGCACCTCTATTTATTAGGCTGCTTTCATTGAACTTAATTCACTGTTCTCCATTGATATAATAATACAAAATGTAAGCAGTATCAAGCAGGGAATAACCTGTAACACACTATCAGAAAAGTACCTAGATAGATCTGCATTTTTTCTCAGTGACTAGGGGATAGAATTAAAAATTTTTAGAAGCACACAAGTTTTGGAAAGTTTTCTCTTACCTTCCTATGTTAATAGCTGAAATCACACTTTTTATATATATATTTCTTTGTTACTAACTGACACTCATATAATAGTGGGTATAAGGGGTATGGTGTTTTTTTGATGTGAGGAATGTGGCAGTAACATAGTTGCTTCTCTCATCAATATAGAACAGGACACTAAAGTGTTGCAGGGTGTGTTTCGAACAGCTGATTTTAAGTCCTTCAAGTTCAAAATAAGATGGAGTTGTATCCATCACGTCTGTGTGTGAGCTTCTAGAATAAGATTGTTTTTAAAAGGAGTTAACATATTTACCTGAATCTAAGATGACATCCCCCCCACCCAATAATTAGATTCTACACATGGAAAACTATAACAAATTTATAACTTAGAAAATTATAACAATGTATAGAATCTAATTATTGGGGGGGTGTCATCTTAGATGCAACCTCTGCCCTGACACAGCAGGAGAAGAAGTGGCAGGGGCACAGTGGGATCAGCAAGAGAGAGACTTTGTGCCTGTCCCCTCTGCCACCACTGCTACCAGGCTGGGCTGGGGCCATGCTCTGTGCCCCAGGCTGGAGTGTGGATGGAGCCTGCAGGCACCAGAGCAAAGGTAAATGTGGTGGGGTAGGGGAGGGGTTGCTCAGGGTCAGAGGCCATGGTGGGGTGGGCAAGGCTGGCAGCAGTTGCATCTCTGGCTCCGTCCCAGGGTTGGGGCTAGTGCTGCAGCAGCTGCCTGCATTCCCTGCTGCCTTATACTCTATTCCAAGATAAGTGGCTCCCCCCCACCCATGTTAAATGGGGGATGGGGAGAGGACCTCATCTTGAAGTCAAGTAAATATGGTACTTTGAATGCTTTCTTCCAGTTTTGAACCCAGTGGTATCCTATATTAAGGTATATAACGGATGACTGGAACAAATTGAGAGTCAGTCTGCCATTAGATCTACACGTACAACTACTGTTGAAGCTGCTATGAGCTGCCTGCATATCTGGAAGAGAGCTTGGTTCTTACTGATTAAATATATGAACAAATAATTGAGTTGTTTAACACCAGTTTTTATTTTAGTGGAAAGACACTCATTACAGATTCTTAATTTGGATGTGGAATTGCTGATAACGTAACTTGTGTTTGGTCAAACTATTACATCTAAAATTATTTTCTCTTTTACAGAATTAATTTAGAAATGAGTATGATTGATTGATTTCTGCCTCAAAAAAAAAGCTTAAATTCAGTATTTAATAAAGCTCATTTAAAGATGTTACAATTTAATTTTTCTCTTGCCAAATAGGGACATCGCAAGTGCAATAAAAGAACTTCTTGACACAGTAAATAATGTCTTCAAGAAATATCAATACCAGAATCGGAGGGTATGTGAATCTAAATTTTTATACAGAATTCTGTTTTACTACTACTAAATGTAAATAGGAAGTATCTCATGATCCAGTGGTCAGTGGTAGGATTTAGCTGGTCACTGATAGAGTGCCTAGCAAATGTTACAGATAACGGTGCAATCAGGCCTTGATTCACATTGTGGTTAAATTCTTGAAAAAACACCATGGAAGTAGAAAATCATGTAAAAAGATACCAAGGGTCTACGGGGAAATAAGGGTTTAGGTTCCAGATGTGGCTGATAATTTGGCCAATAAATGCTTGTGCATGTGTTCAGCTGCAGCGCAGCACACAGGCACCAAGGAGCACAGCCCGACACTTGGAAGGCTGTGTAGCTGGTAAATCTGTTGGGGAAGGGAAGGGAAGGGAAGGGGCCTGGGGGGACAGATCAAAGCTGCCTGTGGTAAGGGAGGAGTGGGGCTGGGTCAGTCATTGCCCAAGTGGGGTAGGCATGGGATGGAGCTGTGGCTCATCTGGGGGGTGCTGGGGTTGGGGGTGGTGGCTCCCACTGCTGCGTGCACCCCAGCAGGGCATGGTGGGGGAGGCGGCATATGCCCCTGGATCTGCGCGAGGCAGGCTGCAGCTGCAGGCTGAAGCCAGGGCTGTGCCAGGCTTTTCTCTGTGGGGGTTGAGCTTGGGGTGGGCAGTGGCTATAGCGGGGAGGGGGCTGCAGCCACCCCAGATTTTGCCATTAACTCCTTTCTAGCACCTCTGCCACCTGCTCTGAGCCCAACCTGACTCAGCCTCCACTGAGAAGAGCCCTGTGCAGCCCCAGCTCTAGCCTGCAGCTGCAGCCCACCCTGCCCTGCTCATATGTGGAGGGCATATGGCCCCCTCCTGCTCCCCCATGCCCTCCCAGGGTGCACACAGCACTGGGAGCTGCTGTGACCACTACAGATCCTTTCTTTTCAGTGGTCTGTCCTGTGCCTGCCCCACCCCGGTTGGGCAGTGCCTGCTCCAGCCCTGCCCCACTCCCTCCCTCACTATGGGGGTGTGTGGGGGGCATTGATCTGCCTCTCCCACGCCCCTTCTGTCCCCCCTCCCCTTCCACCACAATACAACACATTTACCAGCTACACAGAGCAGTGTGGTGGAGACGAAGCAGGAAGTGACCAGCTGATTCTAGACGCATCTGTGCATCTTGGTGACTGTGCTGCACCGTGTAAAAGTGAATCTATATCATGTACAAAAATAAAGGATTACAATTAATTGAAAAATAAAGTCACAATTAACTGAAACCATGCATAAAATACCATGTAAATTGAGGCCTGACTGTTTGTAATAACAAACCTGTCATCAAGACAGTATGTTATAGAAAGGCCTCTGAGGAATTTTAAATCAACAAAGGTTTTATGGAAACAGTATAATGCATCTCTGCATTTTCCAAATGGCTTAAATCCCTTTCTCAGCATGATCTCATAGCTTGCTTTCATTTTTTCTGTTTTTGCCATTTAGTTCTTTGTAACTTGTTACTAATTGGTTAGTATTACATCTGCTGTACTCTGAAGGCACTAGATAAATCTCATTCAGTAGTTATTGTTTGTTTTTAGGCACTTGAGCACCAAAAGAAAGAATTTGTAAAATACTCCAAAAGTTTCAGCGATACTCTGAAAACCTATTTTAAAGATGGAAAGTAAGTTCACTTTTTATGCAATCTCACAATATCAGATTCATAATTTTTGTTATAAGTTTACATAAATGTATTTAAGTTACATGGCCTTGTGATGAACTTAGCAGTTACCAGTCTTCATCTCTGTATGAGTAAAAGCAGGAGGAATCCATGATTACTTGAAGAATGTAGCCTTCCATCTTCAAAGCACCATTTGCAAAACACTATAGACTTTTAGTTTTTTGGTTTTTTGTCATAGCTTATATCATATTAATGAATTGCAATCATATTCAAAATGATGCACCTGAGGTTTTTTTTTAATCATCTCTCTGTGGCCTCCAATTAAATTTTAATCTTTAGAAAAGACAAGCATCTATCTTGCGTCTACTTGGCCTGCATTCCTCTGATACTTTCTATTTTGGGAGAGGATCTGATTTTTATAGCCAGATATATTTCTTAGAGGCAGAAGTAATTAGCAACTTCCTGGTATTGCTCCTTTACCTCCTGCAGGCAAACAGTCTTTCTTTTCTGGTCTTTTAGCTGCCAAAGTCAATGCAGACTGCAACACAGGGGAGATACTGCACTACTATAGGAGTGAAGACTAATTCCCAATAAAGGGTCTCATCCTCTGCTCATTTAAGTTGGCAGTAGAGTTTTGGTATGCTGCCATGGTGCAGAATTGGATCCTAAATTTTACATTTAGAGGGTGTCTTTCATAGAGAAGGATCTCTTGACTACTTTTCAGGCTACAAAAAATGCAGCATCTATAATATAGAAAGGAATAGAAATTCTGGCAAAAGACCTGGGGGCAAATTCCTGCTCTTAAATGTGCATAAAATCTTTAATGGTAAGGATGTTTTAATATTAGGTCTGGGAAGAACACCCAGGGAATTACAAAAATGGCAAGCTTCCTATAATAAGAGTTTAGCCAGGAGTCATAAATAAGCTGCAGCAATCTGCTAGCAATTTTATCTCAACTTTTGAAAGGAACTTCTATTATAGGAATACTGTATAATGTGGTTGCTAAAATACGTTTGAAAGAAACCTGGTTACACAAGCAAGGGAAAGTAAAATTAGCATGAGAAACTGGAACCTTGAATGATTTATGCAAGCTAACAGACCAAAAACGTACACAGCATTAATTTGCACTTCTATAATGCCTTTCATCTGATAATCCTAAATCATAACAGAGCCAATGCTAGGATTTAGAGATTCTGAAAAATACCTGAAGAGAGCCCAACTGAGACTTGAATTACTGAATCTGTTGGGATAAGAGGGTAACTTAAACCTGCATAAAATTGTATGTCACAAGTAAGACTGAAAAACACCAGAAAAATGCAAGAATAAAGAATATAACTTCAATCTTGCAATTGTAAGTGAGATACAATACCCAATAAATTTGACCCCATTCTTAGTTCTTTTCTAGCTTAAAGAAAACTGAACAATGCCCATACAAGAATGTTAGTGGTAGAGAGGCTTCACCTTCGGGTTCCCATCACTTTTTTACATATATAGTGTTTTACTCTGTAAGAATGGGAGGGAGACAGTGATAAAATAACATGAACTCCATTTCCCTTCAGCTGGAACTGGATACTGGGCACTAAGGAAAAATCAGGCTTGTAGTGACCATCTGTTTATACTTTTTCCTAGTTTAGTTTTGGGGTTTAAAACTTCATTTTTGTTTTCCTAAGAATTTACGTTCCTGCCATCAAATTGTAATATTATTTGCATAGTGAAGGCATGCAAGACTTATTTAGTCACCAGGGCAATACTGTGAAACAGCTGAATTTGCATCTCTGATTCACTGAGCCCAGATACACTTCTGTTCAAATTTAGCATCGCAATCTTTGAATAGAGTGTTTTTAAAGCTGTTCATACTTGTCTGAAACTGTTCTTGGTATTAATATATTTCTTTTTTATGACAGGGCAATAAACGTGTTCATAAGTGCCAATCGACTAATTCATCAAACCAACTTGATACTCCAGACCTTCAAAACTGTGGCCTGAAAACTGTATATGTTGAGTTGTACTTTTCAGTGGTGGATAGGATACCTTTATATGTAAATTTTAAAGTTTTGACTGTATAAATTATCAGTCCCTCTTGAAGGGACCCAATGCAGGATTTTGAATGGGATTATTGCCATCTTACACCATATTTTTGTAAACATTGTAGTTTAATCATAATCTCACAATGAAGATTTTGCATCACTTTTTGCTATTATCATTCTTTTCAGAATTATAAGCCAAAAGAATTTACGCCTTAATGTGTCATTATGTAACATTCCTTATAAGAATTGTAAATATTTGGTGTTCTGTTTCTGACATTTTAACTTGAAAGTGAAAAACTGCAAGATTATGTATTTAACAATATTGGTGGCAAATATTCAATAAATAGTTTACATCTGTTATATTGTAGATTGTCTATTTGTATGCGAGTCAGGGTGTGGAAACTTGTTTTGCCTAGAATTAAAGAATATATACTAGATGGAAGAAGTAAAGAAAATTTATTCAGGTGCTTCAAATCAGCAGCAGATTTTTAATCACACTATAAAAAGGTAATATTCTGCTCTTGTGTGTGTAAGAGCAAACTTTTTTTTTTTTAAATTTAAAGACTAAGCGAGTTGCTAAACTTCAACCAAAATACTGAAACAGAATAATAAAGGTCCCATCATTTGTTTTTAATAAAAAGCTCAAGGCAAGATACTGCTGTGGGTTGATGCCATACTAATGAATTCAAACTAGACCTTAAATAAAACTATAGTGCCATTTTGGTTAGCATGTCTGTATATCTCAAGTGTGAATTCCTAGCATCTTGAAATGCTTGGTAAACAGAAATAAGTGCATAGCTATATTGGAGGGGGAAGTATGCACAAAAACCAGTTGTCTTTACTTCTAGAGCATTTGGAAGGTCACATCCAAATCAGCCTCACGGGACCTCTGTTTAGGCTTCAGTATGCCACAGCAATAGGTGCGTTGTCCCACAAGGCTGATTCTAACAGATAAGCTTAGATGCCTAGTATTCCTATAGAGTCAATGGGAACAGCCCCAAAGAGAGATCAAGGGCACCCCATGTTGGCTGTCGGGAAGTTAGAAAAGCTGCTCTTGGGATTGATTGTTTGGGTTCTGGCAGATGTAACAGGGATGTGGTGAATATCCTAGGAGGTGTCCAAATGTTAAGTGGTTCTCAGTGAAGGTGTAGTTTCCTGATTGACTTGGAAGTTGACAAAGTCAAGGAATGTGGAAAGCGGATTGAAATGATGATACACTGATGTGGAAGAAAAAGGAATAATTTCTACCTATGTGCCTCTGGACGGTTCAAGGAAAAATGTATGTATAAAGATGTATGTTTTCAGGAGAGCTTTGGATTTGTGTACCCTGGTACTTATCCCCTCTGACAGTGAATAAAGACTGTTTGACTTCTATTTGGTTTTTCACACATTGGTGAAACAGCAGCACTGGGGCTGGAAAAATGTTCCTGGAAGTTACAACGCCTAAGTGCTGAGCACAAAGACTCTTAGAGGTAATAAATCAATCAGAAACAGTTGGTAGAGGGGTATACCTGAATTACTGCCTCCATTTCGAGTTCAGATATCCAACTCAGGGGATTAGAGCTTTGCTGCATGTTGCCATGCACTGTGGTAGCTGCCTGCATTGTACACTTTTATCCCAGAGTAAATGAAAGCTAATCTGTAGAAGTTTAGAACTCAGTAGAAGAGGGTTACTTGAGTTGAGCTTTCAATTCC